GTTTCTATGCGTTTGGTTTCGGTGTAGGAGTTGTCGAAGTTCTGAGCCTGAAATTGGGAAGCAGACGGTTGGCAGGTGGGACAGTGGAGGGTAGTATGGTGCTGATGTTAGACGTCCACCGCTTAAGCTCCAGCTGGATCTACGGGGGTGTGGGGAGGGAAGGGTGAATCTCACGTCGTGTGTGACTTTTCATCCCAGGCCAAGCAGCACCGGCCAATTGTGATGGCCAGCATCGGCGCTAGTGCCGACTTCGGTTTCAAGATGAAGGCCGTCGCCATGGGAAGCTCGTGCTTAGTGTCCGATAAAATAGAGGGGCCGTAATGCATAGACCAGGTTTGGGGGTATAGTATAGTATCAGAATATCGTGACTAGAAAGGCGACAGTATTGCAACTTATTCCGGCCACTTTACTGAGCATGCGAATTTGCAGAAATGCCTTCAGCCAATGTGTGTTGAGCCCGACACTTTAGCCCCGACTAGTACACCTTAAGAGCGAAACCTTCAACATAAGCTCGAGAACCTGACGCCGCAAAGCTCTTGCCCGATCTTTGCTTAAGGTGTGAGGAGACGTTTTGCTTTTGGCTCAGGATTTGGGCCTTCAGAGCTAGCAATGTTGGGTTCAGGGTTGCAGCTTCGGTTGAGAGTTTTGGATTTTGTTTGTCAGTGACTTGTTACCTTGGGTTCTTGGTCTCGAGCTTTGATTCGTCAAGCCTCTGAATTCTGCGCCGTCGGCTTTGTGCTATCCATTGCCCTGCTCGCGCTTGAAGGCCAACGACCCGGACAACTCGGTTCGACTGGAGTCAGGACGCAGCTCTTCCATTGCAGCGAGGGTCGAGGGACGAGTCGTAGAAGTATAAGTTCTAGGGTGTTTGTGGTTCAGGGTTTAGGGTTCAGAACAGTATTTGGTCAGACTTTTGGGAAAAAAAGGGGAGAGCCAAAGCAAGACAAACTGGAGCCGACGAGCTGTGAAGATGATTGTCATAAGTGTTGAGAAGACGAGTAAGCAAGAAGAGAGAGATAATGTGGGAGCCTGATTAGAAACATTGGACCTACATTAGGGTTCTTTATATTATGATTCCTAATATGTTGGAGGTTATCGGGCTAGGGTTTCTTAATCAGGTTCCTACACTAAGAGAAACTGTCATAGTGAGGATCATGGTCACAGTCATTGCTATTGTCCTGGTGCCTAGCGTTTGACAGCCATGGTCCAGGCCAATGAGGGTTTAGGGTTTAGGGTGAGTCGACACTGAGACTTGAACGTTGCGTGGGCAAGGGCTCGTGATGAAGACATCCTGTTTGTCGCCTTTGCCAGGCACATCCTGAGCTCGATTATGCACCGAAGCGGCTTCAGCCCTCAAACCCCAAAGCCTAAGCAGGGCTTTTTTCTGCCTAAGCTATGAGGAGACGTTATCGTTTTCGGCGGTCCCGCACGAGACCTGGTCCATGCAATGCTACGCGTGTTCCCGGAGACCTGCCCCTCAGTGCCTTCGGCTTCGACGTGGTTTCGGGTTCCAGATTTCGCAGGGGTGAACTTCTATAGGGGCTTGAATAGTTACCTATACTATTTTTGGGAGTTCCTTGTTATAATTATAGCATAATGGGCCCCCAAACCCTGTTCTGATTATTCAGGCCCCTATATTTGGTTTAACGAGCTTTTCCACAACCAGGACGGTTGTGGCCTCGGAAATATGTGGATTTGCCTTACCATGAGCAGTCTGGGTACGTGGAGTCGAGATGTTGGGGTCAGTGTGGCTGCAACGTAGGCGTCTGGATAATTACTCAACTTTTCCGCGGGGTTCCGATTGTAGTTATGGTATATTATAACTCAAAATCTCTATTCTAACTTTTTCAGGCTCCTACATTGAGCATCAAGTCTTAGGACACCACACTTTCCAAGATTTTCAAGCTGTAGCCTAGTTGTTTGCTATTCGGACCCATGATTGCAGATCCCAGGCCCTCTGTTGCAGACCCCGTGCCGCAGCAGCCCGAAATCCGAAAACCCTACACTCACACCGATCCCGGGCCCTAAACGCTCAAGACCTCAAACCCTTGAACCCTTAGTCCTGAAGCTTAAGCCCTCAACCCTAAACCTCAAACCAACAAAACATGAAGCCTAACCCTAAACCCCTACACCCTAAGCCCTAGATCAAGTAGCTCAATTTTCCTTCGCCGCCCGGACCTGGGCGCGTCAGCATCACCTGGCGCGACGTCGGTCCTGAGGCCATGCCCGAAGCCCAATGGCCCTAGACCCCCCGAAGGACTGAACCCCTTAAACCGTCAACCTCCAAACGGCAAAACCCTTAGAATCCTAAAGGCCTTAAACTCAACCCTGAACTCCTCATCCTTGAACTGAAACCCTCAATCTCAAACAGGCCCTAAGCCCTAAACCCCAAATCCTAAAAAACACCGAACCCCTAATCCCACATCCTGAGTCTTGACTCCTAACCCCGAACCCAAACCCCTAAATCCTACACCCCCCTAAACCTGAAACCCGAAACCCTGGACCCTGAGGAACCTACCTTTTTTAGGTCTCCTTATTATGATTTCTTTATAACAGTCCTTAGAAAGGTAGGGTATTTAGGGTCCAGGTAAACCCTAAACCCTAAGCTTAAATCCACAGCCCCGAGCCGCGGAGGATGGCCTGACCTTTAATTCGGATGAACGCCTGGGACTGTGCCTCGACTTTGCAGATTTTTAGGGGTTTAGGGTTTAAGTTTAAGGGTTTAGGGTTTAGGGTGTTTGGACGTCTGGTGGGGTAGGTTTCAAGAGTCAAGGATCATCTGTCTCTCTCTCTCTCTTCCCTCCCTCCCTCCCTCCCTCCCTCCCTCCCTCCCTCCCTCCCTCTCTCTCTCTCTCTCTCTCTCTCTCTCTCTCTCTCTCTCTCTCTCTCTCTCTCTCTCTCTCTCTCTCTCTCTCTCTCTCTCTCTCTCCCTCTCCCTCTATTTCTCTCTGTCTCTCTGTCTCTCTGTCTCTCTGTCTCTCTGTCTCTCTGTCTCTCTGTCTCTCTGTCTCTCTGTCTCTCTGTCTTTCTGTCTTTCTGTCTCTCTGTCTCTCTGTCTCTCTGTCTCTCTGTCTCTCTGTCTCTCTGTCTCTCTGTCTCTCTGTCTCTCTGTCTCTCTCTCTCTCTCTCTCTCTCTCTCTCTCTCTCTCTCTTCTGTCTATCGGTCTATCTATCTATCTATCTATCTATCTGCATTCGTTCATACATAGATGGATCATGCACAGATAGATTACATACACAGGGATCAGTGGGGTTGAGGCTGTTGGGCAGCAGACGGAATTTGGAGTCTATCGGGGATGAGGGTTTGGGCTAGAAGGAAGTTGAGCTCGCGGCTTGAAATTCGCACATATCAGATTGAAGCGTTGGAAGCTTTTCCTCAGACCGCGTCAGTCCGTCTACCAATCATCTGTCAAACTTGGGCGCTTGACATCGGCTGCAGCTTCGTAGCTTCTAGCGTCTCCACGCTTGGGTAAAGGGTTTAGGCGTGACCTGGAGGTTCGGAGGAGGTTCGCAGGCGGCTCGGATGTAAGGACGACTTGACTTTGCAAGGTGTTCCTCGAGGGTTTAGGGTTGAGATGCCTGAAGACCTCGCAAACTCCACCTCGCAGCAGTCCTGTCTGTTGGGGTCTAGAGTTTAGGCTCCGTGTTGATGGAACCTTCCTTCAAAGGGGAAAAGGAGGGACCCTTAATAAGGACCCCTAGGTATATACCCTTAACATAGCTATTATATACCCATTATATAGCCCATTATAGGGTAGGGGTCCCCATCAAGGGTCCCTCCTTTCCACCCTTGATTCCTGGGCCAAGAAGTTCGTGTTGGGAAGCTGGCTGAACCCCGAATGCGCCGCCCTAAACCCTAAACCCTAAACCAAGACCCTAAACCCTAAACCCTAAACCCTAAAGCCCAAATCCCAAAACCCTCCGAAGCTGGCACAGCGCGAAGCCTCCAAGGATGCATAGAGGTCCGTAAGGCGTGTTTCGGTGTATTTTGGGGTTATTTTGGGAGTTTCCGGAACTTAGGTATACCATATTTGGGGGTCCTTATAATAAGGATCCTTCTATTTAGGGTACTATATTAGGGCCCCCCATTTTCGGAAAGTCGCATTTGTCTATGCTGTCATGTCTTGGACTCGAGGACAATCACAGAAAACACGCTGCCACGCTACTTGCCGAACAGGCTGGGAAGTTTAAGTTCAGCCTTGAGCCAAAAAGCAAGTCGCAGGCATCTTGCAAACGGTACCGACAGATAGATTCGATGGAAAGTGGAGATGCTCCTGTGGCAGCGTACGGCATATGGTGTTCAACTTCTTGTGGTTAGTACGAGGTACTTGGTAACGCCTCACACTGTTCCGATTTATCGTGCCGTGTGATCAACACAGTTCTCATTTTTCAGTTGTTCGGCAGAAGAGTGCAGAACCAGTCTCCAAAGCTTTAAGTAGCCCATAGGCCCAAAGAGGAAGGCAGTGGTAGAGGACGAGAGTTTCGAGGGCAGAGGATTAGTGGGTTGGGGGTTTAGGAATTTGGGTTTTTGTGGCTCTGGAGTTAGGGCTTAAGAATTGAAGGGTTTTTTTTCAGGTTTTTGTGTTTTTAGGGTCTACGCCTTAGGTGCTTAGTTTGGTGTTGTGTTTAGGTTGTTTTTATGAGCATGCACTTGGGTTGGGCTTTTGGGCTTGGAGGTTCAGGGCGTGGGAGTGGCGTGTATCGTGATGATGAGCTGGTGATCACTTATGAATCGGTGATCACTTACGGAAGGAATCATGTTTGCAATGCCCTTTTGTTCAGGACAGGAGGAGTTTGACATTGCCCTGACAAGTAGCAACGTAAGCCTCTCAACCCTAAATGTCTTGGGCATGGATTTCTGACATTGCTTGGCATCAAAGATCGTCAGGGAAATAGTACCGGCATGTCTTTCGTCAGTGCTATGCTCATATAACGATAGACTGGCTTTTGTTTTATCGCAGCTCGCGATGGAGAGGGGGACCAAACGAACGGCAGAGGACATGGAATCAGAGGCCGCCGACAACACCGAGATGCCCACAGCAGCCAGCTTAGAGGAGGTCGGCGATGTGCGAGTGGAGTTCGGAGAAGACTCTGGGAGCTCCCTGCTGGCCAGCTCTCATCTGCTCCGCGTGGCTTCTCCGGTTTTCAACCGGATGCTTCAAAGTGGCTTGAAGGAAACACAGACAAGCATCATCCGGGTGGATGTGGCCAGCAAGGAGGAGTTTATCACCTTCTACAACTTTCTTGGTCCTGTGGCATGGAGCACCGATCAGGTCACGGAGGCAAATGTTGATTCGCTTCTTACCATCAGTGATTACTACCAGGTGGAGATCATCAAACGAACCTGTGAGGATTTGCTGCTTACTCTTCCGGTCACTGGCACTCGCCTCTTGCAAGCTCACAAGCATGGCCTCAAGCGGCAGTGCGAAAGGTGCTTAAGGCATTTGGCCAAGCAGAGCACCAAGGAAGACCTGGAGGTTCTCCACCAGTCCGCGCCTTACATCCTTCTGCAGGTGGCCCTCAAGAAACAAGAGATGTTGAACCCGCTGATGGCGATGAAAGATGGGTTCCTGAAGTGCGTTGCTGGCATATCAGAAATACGGTTACAGGAACTACCGGTCCCGACCCGAGAGTTCTTTGAAACAGACCACCGCTGGATTGAATTCTTCAATTGTGTTAGCGACATGGCGCAGCTCTTCAGCGAGACTGGGAACAAATGAAGGCCTCAGCTGAGGCCGAGTATGTGCATAGCCTTATTCATCTCTATCACACTCGCGAACGGACCGGTAAAAGACATATTTGGGCTGAAGGTTGGGTTTGGGTGTTAGGACTGCAGGTTTCTTCGGCTGACGTGTTCAGGATGAGTTGCAGGGCTTTGAAGCATTTAGCCGCTTTGGATTGATATGTTGTGGGTACATACAACTGCCCACACGTCCCCATGCTGATTCTGTCCAGCATCACAATACTCGGTATTCGTGCTTCCTAACTGCAGTTATGCGATAAGGAGCGAGAACTTGGAATGTATCTGGACTCTCCATTATATTCCCTGTTTGTGGTTACTGTTTGTCATACGGTTCTAGCGGCAGAAGTGTTCAGCCAAAAAAGGAGTTACATTGTATACTGCAGTAATTTATGTATGCACCTGTCTTCAGGACTTGCGTGTGTAGCCTGCTCCTCACTACAATACAGCCGCTCTTGGTTTCCGTTCTAAGGTGTGAATCCCAAAACAAGGGCTTTGGAGGGTGGGATGGGGTGATCGAGGGGCAGCCCCTTAGTGCCCCTTAGTGTCCTCATCTGATTAACACCAGATAGCTATTTAAGCACCTACGCTTAAAGGTTTCCAGGGTTTCGGGGTTTGATTTCCTTTGGTGTTTGGGCTTAGCCGCAAGGGCCCAGAATTCAGGGTTTAGGGGTTTAGGGTTTCGTGTTTAAGGGTTTCAGGGTTCAAGGGGTTCAGGGCAGTTGAGAGTGCAGGGTTTAGGGTTTAGGGTTCAGGTTAACGCCCGAAACCCTGCAGCTTTGACAGTAGTCTGGTGGGCAGTACTTCGAATCTTCCTTGAGCCTTTTTCAAGCAAGGCCGTGTGCTTGCTGAGCCATCAGACTCACAACTACAAGAGCTCTGAGCACTGAAAGCCCGAACCCATACCCTAAACCCTAAACCCTAAACCGGTACACCTTAGAAGCTGCCTCCGCCCTGTAATAGTGGTATAATAGAAATATAATAGGGCCCTAATATAATCCTATATAATCCTCATGGTCACTATTACAGGGTGGGGGCCCCTTCTAAGGCACACCTCATAAAAGCCCAACACCAGGCCAAAGGGTGGCGGCAAGGGCAAGAAGGGCTACAGCAAGGGATACGGAAAGGCACGAGACATACGGTTGATGATGCAAATCCTGCATTACCTTAAGGACCCTAAACTATGAGAATTATGGTATATTCCTTACTATGGGTAATGCAGGATTTATATCATCAACAGTAGGACTTCGGAGTGCGGGCTACAGTGCAAGTCCTAAAAGGTTTGGGGTCGAGGACTCGAAGCACTTGCCGTACAAGGGCTTGAGAATTTCTGCCATTAAATGGGTGGTTGTCAAAATTAGGGTCCCTTTCTGGGTCCCTATTATAGTACGGCACCTATTATTTAGGGTACCCAAGAAGGGACCCTAATTTTGACAACCACCCAAATGGTCAGACTCAATTCAGAATCTTCACAGTGATCCATGTGGCATTTCGCCTGGGAGGGCACACGGTGATGGCATTTTTTGTGGTTTCGTGGCTTCCGCGTGCTAAAGCGCTTTCGCATTTGTGCAGCTTGAATATGCCAGGGTTCTTGTGATTGTACGGTACAGTGGCCTAGATGTGTATGAATACTTGCAGTCCCGTCTGTCAATGCTCGCCGGAGCGTTGTCGACAAACCGGGCCGTGAAGCCTCCAGCACCTATAGTAAAGAAGAGAACAGGGTGTTTTCGAGGAAGGTCGGGGATCTGGTCTATAGCTGCTGGTCTTGCTTAGAGGCTGATGGCAATCCTTGGGTTTGCAAAGTTGAAAGTCCCTGGGTAGGCGCCACACATGGGCAGGGGCCCGGAGCTTTCACACCAGAGCCTGAAACAGGTTTGTCAAGGCGCTTAAAGCAGAGGGCCTAGGGGTTGGCCGTTGGCCCGGGCATCCAAAACGTCAGAGCCAAATACACATTGCATCCACGATGCGAGTTTGTACTGCTCAAACCATTGTGTCAGTCCTTCCCTCTCCTTACCAAAGACGTTGTTCTCAATCCCTTGGCGTCTGAGATGTTGACTTGTTCTTTTGTGGGGTGTTTGTATTTCAGGTGCAAGCCTGCACTTGGTGGGTTGGTGGGTCGGGAAACACGCTCCTCGTCTGGTCGACAAGTTTGACTCGTACTGTCAGTTCAGAAGGTGATGATGGTCCGTGATGAGGGCAGTGCGCCTGCCGGTGCAGGGGTGGGCTGGGAAACAGAATCTTCCATCAAGTCGAAGCAGCTGTGAACTGAAAGGCTGATGGCATAGAAGCCTAAGTAATTACAACTACTCTTCCTAAGGATTCCCTGTTATATTCCGATTATAGCATACTCTAAGTACCACTACTCTTCCTAAGGGTTCCCTGCAAAAAAGTCTTCTTTGCATAGCCTAAAGAAGCCCCGGTCTGATTGCTAAACAAAACGGTGCGAGCAGGGCTTGGGTCTTATGGTGGTGTTAATAAACCTTAGGCCCTAAACCCCTGACCTGAAATCTTCAACCCTAAGCCTAAACCCTAAAGCTTAAACCCGTACAAGTACCTTAAACCTTTAATCTTCATCCCTAAGCCCTAAAACTTAGACCCGTACCTTAAACCTTATATCTTCAACCCTAAGCCCGAGACCCCTAAACCCGAAACCGCAGCCCAACAGAGGCCCGGTGAGTTCCACTCCAGGGAGCCGCTGGAGTCGAGAGACAAAACGGGCGAATGCATTCAGAGCCTCGTTTAGGGTTTAGGGTTTAGAGCTCCAGGGAGTAGGGTCTGGGCATTAGGGATTAGGTTCCTAGGGTTTGGGGGTTTAGGGTTTGGGTATTAGGGACTAGGTTCCTAGGGTTTGGGGGGTTTAGGGTTTGGGGATTAGGGCTTAGGGTCTGGGGGTTCAGGGGTTTAGGGATTAGGGTTAAAGGTTTAGGGTTTAGGGTTTATATCCTGACACCGTGAACCTCAACCTTAAAAAGCAGCTTAAACTCTGAACCGCAGCTCCTGGGAAGCCCGGAACCCAAACAGCAAAAACCTGAAGGCCCCAAACGTGAAGCCTTGATGCGATTTTTGAGGTCTCCGGGCTGCAAGACGGTTTCCGGTGTTAAGGGTTTAGGGGTTTAAGTGTTTTAGGGTTTAGGGTGTAGGGTCATATAGCTCAACAATGGTGGCAATCTCTGAGGTTATATAGATTTTCTTGCCTATGCTAACATTGCATGACCGATGAGACAATGTATGCCTTCTTATATCCTCGTATGCATGCATGCATGCATAGTACACCTCGAAATGTAGCCTCTGTATATTTATATTTATATATATATATATACACATATGCGCAAAGTTCAACCCTAAACCTTCCGACCCGCGGCTGTTTTCTTCAAATGAGGCTTGCGACAGGCTGGGGCAGCAAGCAGCTCGACGTGCTTTGGGCTATGCGTGAAGTCTAAGCAGTCGTTAGTTAGTAGCATAGTATTCACAATGGGCAAGCAGGATCAGGGCTCACTGAGAAGGCACACAGCTTCACCGTTTGCTCCTTTCGGCCCCGCCGCGATGGTCATCAAGGCTTGGCCGGTTCCAAGTTTGTTGATACCTCGTTCCTGGAGTTTGCCGAGCCCAGTGTCTGATTTTGCAAAATGCTGGTGGGGCCACAATGGTACTGATATCCCCTTATAATCCCCCATCCCCCATGTAGTTGTACTCTACTAGCGTCCAAAAGTATAGTGCTATTATATCCTAGAACCCTTATCGAATCCACACATAAGCCCCGTTACAGACAGGCTTCTTATTGGGGTGGTTTTGGGTTTAGCTTCCCGGCGTTTCCTCGGGGCCTAACCGTTTCTAGCCTCGAAGTGTGAGACTTCAATTAATCCTGAGCCCAGTATGTGAGACTTCAATTAATCCTGGGCCCAATAGCATTCTTAGCCTGCGGGCCTAAAGGTTAGGGTGATGGTTTATGATCAGGGAAACGACGACTTTGGAACCCCCCACCCCTCCCAGAAGTTTGCCTCAGCTTCTTTCTGCGATCCTCAGCCCTATCCTCCTGTGAATCCCTTTTTGAACTTCATCCCCTAAACCCCAAACCCCAAAACCCTAAACCATTCAACTGGACCAGGAGAGCCCAACGCTTTGAAGCATTTCCTTGCTGCCAGGCCCACATCAAGAAGCTGAAGCCCTATGTGCCTCCACTTGAGGGACGTAACCCAAAGAAATTCGTCGGGGCCTCAGACAATGGTCTCCGATCTCAGGATGCTTTACTAGGATGCCCAGTAGTACCCTTATTCCGTTTTTGTAGTCCTAGCTTCCTTATAAAGTTACCCAATACCAAAAATAGAGGCCTTTTTATTCTTAGGTTACTGGGTATCCTAGTTTAGGTACTCAGCCCTAGACCCCAAACCCTGAACTCAAACCCTGAAACCCTAAAACCCTAGTCCCTAAACCCCAACCCATAAACCCTAAACCCCTTAACACAGAAGTCTGAATGATTCGTGATACTCTTCCTTGAGCTCCGCATTGCATTTCTTGTGTTATATACCTCTTAAGTCCTTAGACTCAAAGCCCTGAACCTTCAACTTTAAGCACTAAACCCTTCAACCTTCAAACCCTTAAACCCCTAAACCCTAAAGCCAAAACCCTGAAAGCCTAAACCCTTAAGCCTAAACCCTAAACCCGTAAACCCTAAACCGTAAAAGCCCCAATTTGAGTGCACCGAGACACTTCTGGACTTCAATGAGCGCACTGCGGAGGTGCCGGAGTTCGTGAAGGAGGCCCTCATCATCTTATACTGAATGTTTTTGTAAAGAACTACCAAACTAGCATCGGTAATTATGAAAGGATGAGCTAAGGGTTTCAGAGGGTAGAGGTCCAAACCCTAAACCCTAAACTTTGGAGTTTTGGGCCCTTTGGTGAGCTAAGGGTTTTTGGAGCTCGAAGCCCACACTTAAAGGATCGTGGGGCTTACTAACTAGGGTTATGATTGGGGTGACTGTACCTATAGTTACTTATAGCCAACATTAAGGGACTTATAAGCATACTTACTAAGTCCCATGATCCTCCAAGCAGGCCATGAAGGAGTTCATTGACAACGGGGGGCAGCGCCTGCCTTCTTCGCTGTGGGCTGCTTCAGCACTCAGGGTCCAGGATTGAAGGGCGAGGAGTTCATATAGGGGCCTCAATAATTAGACTAGGGTTTTGGGGCAAATTATGCTATACTTAGATTTCTGGAACCCCCAAACAGTATGGGTAATTCTTTGGGCGCCTATAGTTGCTTTGTGATTGTGCTTTCAGGATGTTTTGGCTGGTTTTGGGCTGCGGATTTCGGATTGGGGTTTACATCTGTTCAGGACGGCTGGGCTTAGAGCAGACCCGAGCGAAGGCACCATCAGCCGCAGCAGCGACAACAGCAGCGCCATCATCATCATCCTCATCATCATCATCATCATCATCGTGTTCATCGTCATCATCGCCTCATCCTCATCCTCATCCTCCTCGTCCTCGTCCTCGTCCTCGTCCTCGTCCTCGTCTTCATCATCTCCGTGGTCGGTGTCGTCGTCGGGAAACGACGTCGTCGTCGTCGTCCTGGTTGGTCATCATCGTCACCAGCACCGTCACCTGCGATGTCATACGTCTTCGTGCATGTATGCAGTGTCCGATTTCGAGTTTTTTTTCTTGCAGCCGCCTGAGGGCATGTCAACTTTGATTCGAAAAGGTGCTTCCAATCCATAGTCACAGGAGGCCAAAAGGGGTTTTAGCCTATGGGGGTTTAGTGGGGATAGTAGTTCCCATAATAGGGTTCATATTAAGGGATCCCTACCCCAAGAATCTTAACCCCCCCCCCTTTTGGCCTCCCAATCCATAGCCCGAAGTCGTAGGCCCAAGCAAAGAGCCGAGCAGAATTGGATAAATCCTGTCAGCTAGGATGCCCAGTAGTACCCTTATTCCCTTTTTGTAGTCCTAGGTTCCTTATAAAGTTACCCAATACCAAAAAGAGAGGCCTTTTTATTCTTAGGTTACTGGGTATCCTAGTCAGGATCCAGCTCAACATCTGAAGATTGGGTAGTTCGGGCCGCCTTTTAGGATGAGGGTGCGGTACTATGCTTGGGATCTAAACACAAAAAGGAACCCTACTTTAGAGAACTGTCCATATACGTCCCTATCCGAGATCTCGGGTCCTCTACGGTGGCCCGGTAATGAAGTATCGCCTGAACTGAACCCCTCGCACCTTAACGCCCCAAATCCCAAATCCCAAGCCCTGAAGAAACAAGACAGCCAACCATCAAGCCCACATCCCAAATCCTGAACCCTAAACCCTAAACCTTGAGCCCTATATGTGGATTTCCGAAAATAGGGGTACCTTACTTTGGGATCCTAATAATAAGGATCCTACTATTTAGGGTACCAGATTAGGGTCCCCTATTTTCGGAAACTCCCATATTGGAAGCCCTCGCTGAACCGATGGCAGGCTGCAGAAATACCCGTCCTACGGCGGTTTACAGGCCAAGTGCTTGGAGACTGGGGGGCCCCCATCAGGGGAACTTGGGTTTAAGAGTCTTAGGGCCTCCAAAACCCCTTAATTCAGGAATATACCTTAAATCATATAAGGGATCCTGCTATAATTTAAGGCATATTCCTTAATTAAGGGGTTTTGGAGTCTCTGGGGAGTCTTAGGGTTTAGGAGTCTTAGGGTTTAGGTTTAGGGTTTGGGGTTTGGGATTTAGGATTTAGGAGGAAGCGTTCAGGAAGTCTTGTGGGGTTTGGGGTGCCAGAGATTCGATTCTGTTTCTTTCGAACGATTCTCTGAGAGTCCAGAGTTCGGAATTTATTTGGGGTTTTGTTTGGGGTTCGGAGATTTAGTAGAGCTTGGTGTGTGGAATTTGAGCTACATGCATGGTTTTGGAAAACCAGAGGTTGGGGTTTGGGTTGAGGTGTCGTGCCGCATCTAGTTACTTTGCTTGGGATTTAGGGCTTCGGATGAGTTTGCAAGTCCGGGCATAGTCAACGTGAAGCTTGAGAAGACGTGGGAGGCCGACATCGCAACCTATGCCGGGGTGAAACCGGAGGAGGTCATGTTCACTAACGGCTCGGAGCTGAGAGTTTTATTGGGAGTAGTTGTTGATGGGTTTGGGAGTATTCAATATGCTGTTCTTGGCGGTTTTTGTGTACAGGTTTGGATTGGTTTGGAACTGACAACGAGCCCTTTGAGACTTATTCCGGGCCCGAGTGCAAGCCCGAATACTATTCTGCAGGAGTCCTTTTAACATTTAGGCTGAACTATACCACGAAAACTCATTGAACTTATGCAGGCCCTTGCAGTATATTACATGACTTTTGCAGTCTGGCCGAAAAACTTCGCTTCACACTGGTCTCCCAGCCATTTCTGTCGAACGTGTACATCACTTCTAACCATTTCCCGGTGTCGTTCGCTCACGTGAACTGTCAGGGCTTTTAGGGCTTTAGGGTCCGAGTGTTTATGAAGTTTGGTCTGTGTGGGGTTTTGAGTTTGTCAGGGTCTTGCTAACGTGGAGTTTCCGGGTTCCTGGTTTTGGGCAGGGAATTACTGCATCCTTCGTCGGCTAAGTTTGAAGGTCTCTTCCCACGCGGGCTTTTTGGGTGCTTCGGCTTTAACCCTGAAAGTCTAAGTCTAAGTCCTGCATCCCAAGCCCTACCGTAAACCTGAACCCTGAAGCCTCAATCGGTACTCACCGCTTCACACAGGCTCGGACCAGGGTATCGACTTGGTCATCCGATGCTGCTGCGAGAAGGGATCGGAGGTGGGGATTTAGCATTCAAGGTTTAATTGAGAAACATAGTGATGTTATGATCCTGCACATGGTGGGGTGGGAACTGCCCTGGGCTTTAAGGTCTGGGAGTTGTGAATATTTAAATCCGTTACAACGCCACATATGACTACTCACCCATGGACAAGTGCTCTAGCAAGTTAATGGCTGAGGGCTCTGGGGTTTACGTATGCAGCTTGAGGGTTTTCAGATTTCGAGATTGTGTTTTCCGGGTCTAGTGGTTTTCGGGGCCTCGGGGTTGGTAGCTTGAGTTAAAGGCAAAGGATATTTTTAGGATTTGCGCGGATGCCGCACATCGTCAGCAAAGCAAACAACTCAATGCCGCCAGGTGATCATCCCTTCTCCGACTTTTGCGATGTATGAGCAGGCCCGGTCCTGAGTTCCGCTGAAGCTTTCAGACACTCCTCAGCCTTACAAGGCTTTCTGTGGCGTTTCTTCTAATTCTTGACTGGCTGGAGATGCGGCGGTGCAGTGGATGTTGCTGGTATATAGCACCAGTAGCAGGAGGAGGAGGGGGAGGAGGAGGAGGAGGAGGGGGAGGAGGAGGAGGAGGAGCGGCCACCAGTAGCGATACCACAGAAGCAGCAACAAACATGAAGAGAGAAAGAGAGAGAGAGAGAGAGAGAGAGAGAGAGAGATATAGAGGGGGAGAGCGAGAGAGAGACAGCGAGAGAGGAAGAGAGGCAAAGGGAGAAAGAGAGGGAAGGAGTGTGCAAAGGTATCTTATGTGCACATCTGTATGTGCACATGCCCGGATGTGTGCATCTATGCATGAGCTGCATAAGCATCTGCAAATGCCTTTGCTTTTGTGTATTTCTATGTGTACGAACATGCGTACATGTGTTAATATTTTTGCAACAGTATGTGTTCCCCTAAACCCTAAGCCCGTACAATTCAACATGGACGTCCAGGCTTCTGAGGCAGAGGGTCTGGTGATCCGCCGACCGCACTTCACCAAGGAGACATGAGTTTTCTTTGGGCCTTGAGTGGGTCAAGGATGTTTTGGGGGTATAAGAGCTTATGCTTTGGATGTGTAAGGTCAGTGAGGCTCTAGGTGTGGGGTCTGCTTTAGAGCTTAACCCAAGACTTTCGGGCTCAAGAAAGTGTTGGGAGCGGCGTGGAACTTGGAATCGCTGCGTCTGGGGCTTGTGGCGGTGGCTTCAGGGGGTGGGGGTGGGCTCGATATATACATATATATATATATATATGTATAGATGTTTGTGTGTATGTCAATGTGTATGTATAGAAGGTTCAAGGTTCATGGGCTTCTGATGCTTTGCGGATGTGGAGCTGTGCGCCTCCGATCTGCGGCTTGGAGACTCTGCGCTTGGAAGCAGGGCATCTGTGGGTGGGGCAGGGAGAAGGGAACGAATAATGTAGGGGCCTTTGCGATTAGGAGAGGGTTTGGGGCTATAGTGTACTATGATCATAATGGGGAGCCGAAACACCACCGAAACCCTATTCTAATTATAAAGGCCCGTATATGCAGTGCAGTTCTTAGCTGCTTGCTGGGTTCTTGCTAAGGGTTTTTAATGTAAGTTAGCATCATAGGGGATCTATAGTAAACAATATGGTTTCCTCATAATGGTTCCTGAAATTAAACCCTAAACCCTAAACCCTAAACCGTTCTGAAATTAAGTCCTTTAACAAGAGCCCAGCTTATGCATGTTCAGTCCGCTGCTGTGGACCAGAGTCCCAGTCCGTAGCACTGGCCACACATAGAGAAAGGATCATGGGACTTAGTAACTCGGGTCCCTTTAGAGGGGTCTATAAGGGTTCTATAATGGGTCCTCAGGGTGTACTTGAAGGATCATGGGACTTAGCAACTAGGGTTATTAATGGGGTAACTATACTTAGAATTATTTATAACCCCAATTAAGGGACTTATAACCATGATCCCCATTCTAGAACCCTTATAGATCCTTTAAGGAACCCCACTATAGAACCCTATAGTACCCTGTAAACTTATAACCCCAATTAAAGGGACTTATGTTCCGAAGTAGCCTAGGAGGGCTGAGAGGGCCCCAGCCTGGCGAGCCAGTTACATGGGTGGTTGTCATAATTAGGGTCCCTTTTTGGGTCCGTATTGTAGTATGGCACCTAATGATTAGGGTACCCAAAAAGGGACCATAATTGTGACAACCACCCACATCTGGCAGCAGAGTTACTGGCTGATGTCGGAGTAGATCGAAAAGCGGCTCTGTGTTGATCCTGTTGGGGTGACGGTCGAGGACTAGTTATTGTTTCGGGGTTCTCTACGTAAGGTATGGAGAAAGCTGCCACAGAAGGGTCTCCCAAAGCCTACTTGTGATCGCAGGACGTAGGAGGTAGGTTGTAGTGATGTGGGCTTTCCCACCTACAGCTTTACTCACACTCTACATTTCCCACTATATGTCAAGTAGGCCCTTGAAACTCTGCCTGAAGGCTTGAATTCCGAACCCAGCGGCCTTGACCCCCAAAACCTACCGGGTAGAACCCGCGTAAGCCCTAGCGACCTTTACCGTGACCCTTATAGTAGCCTGTAAATGAAGAATTATCCAGCACTCTTAACCCCCTAAACCCTCAACCACCTAAACCAAACCCTAAACCCCCTAAACCCTAAAACCCCTGAACCCTAGAAACAAACACTGAACCCCTCAACTGCAATTGTCTGCCTTCGATCTGCAGGACAAGGGCTTCCCTCTGGAGGAGGCTTCGGGAAAATTGGAGCTGCGTTTTTTTTTTTTTAGTTTTCAGGGTTTAGGGTTCAGGGCTTAGCGTCTGGGGCTTAGGCAAAATTGGAGCTGCAGGGTTCAGGGTTTAGGGTTTGGGGGTTCAGGGGTTAGGGTCTAGGGCTTCGGGAGACATGAAATAGCAAATGATTTTCTTTTGAGCCCCTGTAAAAGCAGTGTCTATACCACAAAACCCTGTCATACTGTTGATGGACAAAATCCTGCATTACCCCTTATAAGGAATATACCATAGTTCCCAGACTTTAGAGTCCTAAGGTTCATGCAGGATTTTGTCCATCAACAGTAGTTCGCGAGGCGCCTGTATTGGGCGCTTCAGGCTTGCCTGAAAGGCTTGAGCTCTCTTGGTAGGTTTAGGGGGTAGAGGGTGGGAGTTATGGAGCTTACACGTTCTGGGTTGATGGCTTTGCGCTTTGGAGTTTGCAGCCTCAGTTTCTCATAATGATTCTTGTACGTACCTTCAGACACGAAACTTCCCTAAGTCCTAAGCCCTATCAACCCGGAGTCTTGAATCCCGAAGTAGTCATGAAGCATTAGGCTGTGTTCCCTTCTACTTCCTTGCGTTTTGAAATGTCCCCAATTGGTTCTCACGATCGTTCGACCCCCCTTGTTGCCAGCCATGGATTCCTGCCCTGCCAATAGACTACTATCGGAGCCTGAAACGCCTGCAATGCCGTCCTTGTGAAAGTCTGAGTAATTGGGAATATTGTCCCATGAAAGTCCCCATGATCCTCATACTACAATATACCCTCCCTGTTCCCACCATGAAGGCCCCCTGTATTGTTCAAAGGGAGTCATCAAAACCCCTACATTTGGATCTAGAGTTTGTTCGATGCGGCATTTGCTTGAGCGCGAGGTGTTGGCCATTGTCAATCAGAACACTTCGCTGATCGTTCTGAGCTTCTTTCCTGCATTCATTGGAACGTTTCGAAACATGCACTGTACTTTCAGGATATGAAGGTTTGAGGGGTCTCCATGCCTAGTTAGTTTCCTGGATGCAGCTGGGAGCCCTGCACCGAAACATGATGGAAAAAGCATAAAGCAATCCTATGAAACGTTTGACCTCCTCAAGCCTTTCATGCGATGTCTTACTCAACACTGCAGGCATTCTGAGCCACATTGCCACACCGTTTGCACAAAATTTACATCTCTGTGTGCGGCTACAGATGCCCAGAAAATCTAATCCTAAACCCAGGCCGTACCTTAACCCCAACTAACCTACCGTTTTAAGGACTCATGAAAGGAAATCATAACAAGGAGCCCTAAAAGTGTATATAGGTTCCTTCGGGTCCAGGTAAGCTCCCAAACACAACGACTCGTGAACGCACGCCTTTCCCGGTCGGCTTTCTATTCTCAGGCCCGGGTTTGAGGTGAATCTAAGCAAGTCAAGACTGGGTTTACTTAAAGGCTCATGGGACTTAGTACCGAGGGCCATTTTTAAGATAACTATACTTACAATTACTTATGACCCTAATTGAGGTGCTTATAACAATACTTACTAAGTCCCATGATCCTCTAAGTAAGCAAGTTTAGGAATTGAGGGTTCTGCCATCCACCTCCACGGTTCTGTTTTCAAGGTTGTGCATAGACCCGGTATCTGCGCGAAGACATTTTCGCCAGCAAACAATGACACCCGACACCCAGCCAGAAACTTGCTCACAACTTGAAGAGCGGTGCACGCGGATGCTCATGCTGGAAGCTTTGAATGTTCCTCGGGAGCGAACGTCGCTTTTCGTTGTTGGTTTGTGAATAGCACTCAATGCTTGTTTGAGTTCAAAGTCTTAATTAGCGGGCACGCTTCTGTCCAGCACAACCTAAGCCTTTTGCTACACTGCAGCAGTAGCGGCAGTTTTGGGCATATTGTTGTTGGCAGCTTTGGCAACACCTCGTCAGATACCAGGACACCAAATCCTGGGTCGTGGGTATAGCTTTCATATTGAGCCCTCAAGTACAAAGCCCGAAGCGGTTTAGGGTTTAAGGGTTTAGGGTTTGGGGTAATGCGAGCCCCGAATTCCTAAACCCCTGTAACGCCCGTATCAAGGCTGGAGACCCTAGATCCTAAAGCGTTGTCCCTCAACCCCATACCCTCAACCCCATAAGCCCTACACCTGAACCCTGAACTTCACCTCAACCCTAGCCCCTAAACCTAAAGGTAACGCGCGCCTTTGTGACCATGGTGGTTTGGCACCATGCATGGTGGCGGCGTTTTCAGGAAATGTTGGTAAACGTGTGGTTTTGTGCAGAGGCTTGACTACGCGGCTTGCTTCGGATGCTTCGAATACATCAGTTTTGCCAGGCTTTGGCTCGTCGAAGCAACAGAACACTCGTTTTCGTGGTATATTTGTAGGTTGGCGAAGCGGATTTCTGTAGGCACTCCCTCTTGTGTCGTTTTTTCTCACTTCTTGTAGTTCTTGTTCTTGGAATCGGCCAGCCGACTGAGTTCCGTCCATTAGCTGCCTCTGAGCATTGAACCGGAACATAAATGAAAAGCAGTACTGCAAGAGCCGTGGATTCAGCTTGAGGCCAGACCCTGTTGGCCTTTTCAAGGCCAGGGTGTGCGGCACGTAGCGCTTCAGATGCCTCCAGAGCTGATCGAGCAGACCCCATCGCTGGTTCATGGCAGAAACCAAGCGATCTTTGAAAAGCTGCGCATCTCTCTGAAGTGGCCGCGAGTACACACTGGAATAAACACATGCCAAAGCAGTTGCCAAGGAAACCAAAGCCGTCCAAAGGGAAGGCGCCTGCACGGTTGACCGAGGTCTCGTAAAAGAGCGCATGAAGCACGAGGATCGCAGCATCGTCCAAGGGGCCTGTCACAACCTGAATGGAAAGTCGCAGCGAAGAGAAATGGCAGCAAGCACAAAGTGCAAGATGTCAGGCAAGAGGCACGCCATGCATCGTGATCATCATCGAAGCAGAACCGAGCAAAGCCGCCCAGATTCGCAGGCACGGCGATGCCCTGCATGCGAACCAGCAAGACGAAGGCCAGGAGGCAGGACAGCCAGCACAAGAAGTCGGAGCTGCCGGCTGGCAACATGGAAAAAAGTGCGGTAGAGCTCTGAAACCAAGAAGCAGCTGACATCCATGAGCATGTGTCAAGAGAATGTGTATGAACACGATGGCCATGAACCCACGTATAGCAGAAGCCGGCACACAGCAAATGTACACAATGCGCACGAGTACTTTAGAGTGCGTGCTGCCGCCGACGAGGACGATGGCGGTGGTGGTCGGTGGTGTTGGTGGTGGTGCTGCTTACGACGACGTGGTCGAGTGGGAGTCATCATCCCCGCCCCCGACCCCCCCCCCTCCCCCCCGGCCCCCCTCGAAACCCTGGACCCCAAACCCTAAAACTATGCCAACACACCATGGCAGGTGCTTGGAAGACCAGGTAGGACAGGAATGCAGCAGGAAGAACCGTCCACACGCTGTAGTGTGGCTTGGACCCCTTGTAGAGGCAGGGTCTTCCTTTCCTTCTTGTGTTGTGTCTCCGGTTTCTGTGCCGGATACCTGTTTTAATTTTGGGATGTGAGACTATATACAAGAGGCCTTGCTCGACTGCAGCCATGCGTCAATAACTGCGCAGCTGTTATCGCCCAGGAGTTAAGGTCAATCTCGCGCCGCCGCCGCTTCCCGTCCTTCTCTCCCACTGTTCAGCACATGGCGCACACTCATAAGGAGCGCGCGGTTCCCAATTGGACCCCAGAAAAGGAGATGGAGGCCTTTCGGGGTATCCCTGAGCCTGATGGGCGAAAGGCTGAGGAGCTTCTACCAGGTCTCATGGAGATATGCACGCTGCTGGACCGTACCCACTCCATGTCCTGGCTTTGGGTGCTTGTCTCCATGGCCACTGTGTCCTTTCAGCTTTCTCCGAAAGATCGCTTAGATCTTTGTCCTTCCGTGCAGGTGCACGGTGCACTCTGGACGGCGTTGCTCCACCCCGGATCAACCAACACGAGCGGTTTCCTCAAAGCCTTGCACAAAGCTATGGCTATGGAGCTCATATACGCTTGGGCCAACCAGCGTGAGCTGCAGGCTGCCAGAGCCGCCCACGAGCAGGAGGTGGAGAGCGCAGAGGCCAACAGTGTCAAGGCGCCGAAGTTCGTCCCTCCGCCCAAACGCAAAGGGTCGCTAAGGTGCGCGTTAGCCTAAACCCCAACCCCTGAACCTTAACCCTTACTGGTACCCTACCTAAACCCTTACCGAAATCCTCAACTCTATACTTAAACCCTGTACCCTAACCCCTCAACCCCTGAACCCTAAACCCTAATCCCTGCACTGAAAAAAGGAACCCTAAACCCTAAACTAAACCCTCAACCCCTGAACCCTAAACCCTAAACCCTGAACCCGTGGCCGTATCTCCTACAATGTGGTCAAGCAGGTACATGAGCGTTGGATGAAGGGACTACTGCGGGATGAAACGGTGCATGAAATCTACGGTTCTGAGTGGCTGCTCATGTTTCGTCGGATGCGTGATGAAGGGGTTGAGGCATGCAGAAATGAGTTGTCTCTGATGGTGGAGTGGGACGTGGAGGAACCACTGCCGCTATGCCCGGGTGACAGCCAGAATGATGAAGCCGATGGACATCAGGGTGTTGGTCGGTGCAGGGTCGCAGCTTGGAGGTGTGGGCAGTGAGGTTCCGAAGCACGACATGGGAGCGGAGAAGCATGTGGGAGATCAGGGAACGTCGTGAACAGCTGAGGGTAAGGGTCAAGAGCCTTCTGCAATGCAGATCTCTCAGGCAGATGGAAAAAGGCGTTCAAAAAAAACCCTGAACCCGTGAACCCTAAACCCTCAACCCCTGAGCCCTAAACCCTAAACCCTCAACCCCTGAACCCTAAACCCAAAACCCTCAACCCCTGAACCCTAAACCCTGAACCCCTAAACCCTAAACCCTCAACCCCTGAGCCCTAAACCCTCAACCCCTGAACCCTAAACCCTCAACCCCTAAAACTGTGCAATGCGTCGGCCGAGGCAACCCGAATAACCCCACGGGTACTGAGATCCCGCGGGATGCCATCCTCGAGGTTCAGATTTATGCTTTAGGGTTTAGGGGTTTGGGGGTTTGGGGTTTAGGGGTTAGGGGTTTAGGGGTTTAGGGGTTTAGGGGTTTAGGGGTTAGGGGTTTAGGGGTTTAGGGGTTTAGGGGTTTAGGGGTTTAGGGGTTAGGGGTTTAGGGGTTTAGGGGTTTAGGGTTTAGGGTGTTTAGGGGTTTAGGGTGTAGGGGTTTGGGTTTTAGGGTGTAGGGGTTTAATTTAGAGTTTAGGGTTTATTTTGGGGTTTAGGGTTTATTTTGGGGTTTAGGGTTTAATTTAGGGCTGAGGGTTTAGGGTTAATTCAGAGTTTAATTAGGGTTTGGTTTTTGTTAGGTTTTGTTATAGGGCTTGGGGTTTCAGAGTTTAATTTAGGGTTTGGGGTTTATGTGTGGTTGAATGAGGGTTCAGGGTTTAGGGTTTAATTAGGGCTTAGGGTTTAGGGTTTAATCAGGGTTTAGGGTTTAATTAGGGTTTAGGGTTTAGTTAGCGTTTAGGGTTTAGCTAGGGTTTTGGGTTAGTTAGGGGTATGATACAGGGGCCTTAATAATTAGAATAGGGCTCTGAGGCACATTATACTATAGTGTTGCTGCACATGATGCTCTTCTGCATATGGCTGCTAGTCGTAGCACTTCCGTCGTGACAGTTGCTGCTCCAACCCTTGTCAGAGTTGACTATCTCTGGTTACTTACTTGCCCCATTCGGCAGAAAGTGAGTGAAAATTGAGGATGCAAAAATGGTCGATCGTGCTGCTGCTAGTGCTGAGCAACACCAGCGTTGCGGTCGTCGTGAGCGGCATTGTCGTCGCCAGCGTCGGCATCACCATCATCGTCATCATCATTGTTGCACACATCAACATCCTGTTGTGCTTTGATTCAACTGGAGGCTGTCCTGCTTCGTCTGTTTTTGCGTGTGAGGCGTCGAGTCTGTGAGGCATCGAGTCCCTCAACATATCTGTCGCTGCGAAGATACATTCATGTTAAGACTCTTGCAAAGCCTCCGCAACACTAAAGAGCACTACTGCCTAAATCCAAATCCTGGTCTTAGTCCTACAACCGAGAAGCGAATTCCCCAAAGTAACCCGACACGCTAAACTTGTAAACCCTAAACCCCAATCCTACTGAGAGCACGCGCACCTCGTCGCAGGTGCTGCGGAAGTGTCCAAATGTCGGCGTGTTGGTCGACGAGTGCTACTTCGAGCTGCGCGGCTTTTCGGTTTAGGGCTTCAGAGTTTAGGGTTTAGGGTTCAGGGTTGCATGCCTTAGCTTTTCCAGCCAGCAGCTGCATCCCAGTACTCCAAGCCACGACTTCCAAAATTCGTGTCTGGAGGGCGCTCGCTATCTACACATCTCCGCCTATCTATCTGCTATCTGGCTCGCTGGCTAGCGAGCGATGCAGCTAGCAGCTAGCTCTAGTGTAGTCCCATGTTTGTGTTCACGTGTGTTCTCTGTCAGCATCCGCACAAATTTCAATCAGACGCATGCGTACACTGAGCACAGAAATCAGTCCTGTGTGTGCGTACGTGCTGGTCTTGGGTGCATGTACGTATGTATATGTAAAGTGTCTTGTTGCAGGTACGTATGCATGTATGTGCGCAGATGCTATACGTGGAGAGCAAACCGACTCACACACACACACACATCATTGCAGGCATGCATCGACGTACTTGCAAATCTTTGCACTGTCTTGAAAGAATACACATGTCACATGAACGTGTGTATATTCCACCACGTGCTCAAACAGGTGGAGCTGTAGAGGTAGATCCAAGTGTGTGTTTCGATCACCTTCTCAGTAGTAGTTCGTGTAACCTTTAGCCTTTCTTGGGGCACTATAATCCCTGACTGATCCCAGCGGGGGGCTGCCACCCCTATATAGTCCCAAAGGGGTATTACAATCCCGCAATCCCAAAAGATAACCTCCACTTCGACTAGGATACTGGACAACCCTAAACCCTAAACCCCCAAAACCCAAACCTAGGATACTGGACAGGTAGGAGTAAGCATCGAGGACTGGTGGGTTGATCTTTCCTGCAATGCACAAACCCAAACCCAGAGAGCCCAATACCCCTTAATTAAGGAATATGGCTTATATCATAATATATGAAGCCTTATATAGTTTAAACCCTAAACCCTAAACCCTAAATTATTTAGGGCTTCATATTATGATATAAGCCATCTTCCTTAATTAAGGGGTATTGGGCCCTCTGGGAACCCTGCGGGTAGACCCGGGCATGGTCACAAGGCACCGGACCCTGAGCTTGGGATACCGAAGCCTGCATCCCTGCACTCCAATATCTCCGATCTCAGGTCCGCATAATATCACATTATATTATTAATTGTGTATTCGATTATCTTGTATATTCTGTCATATTGTATGATGTCTTCGATGTTATAGTCATAGTGTATTATTGCATATTCTATTGCAGTATGGTCCAACATGCTGAAGTCTACTCTCACCGGTGACTCCTACGTTCTGCGCCCTTCCGCTTGAAGCTCCGAAACAAGTGACAAGGGGAAAAGGAGGGAAATGGGCTCTATAATGGCTATATAATAGCTATATTAAGGGTATATACCTAGGGGTCCTTATTAAGGGTCCCTCCTTCTACCCTTGGAAGTGAGGTTCATGGATCCGTCTACGACCGTCGCGAACGAGCTGGGGAACTTCCCCAATCTCTTCGTTTGCCGGACTTTGGGGCTCGGGGTTTCAAGATTTATTGCTGCCGGGCTTTGTGCTGAGGGCCTCACACTCTTAGTACAAACAATTCATCCCAAACAATAGATGACATCAGAACCCCAACGGAACTAGACGAGGCGAGAAGGCTGTTATCGTTCCTTGAAGTTTTGTTTTCGGGTCTATAGGCATGCTCCAGAACCTGTTCTAGCATAGGAGTTTAACATCTAAGGCTCGAGGTTTTCATGCGAAGGCTGAGCCCAAAGTTCTGAACTGCTTAGTCGCTCTGCCATGGACCAAAACCCTAAACCCCCAAAGCCTCTCAAACCCCTAAAGCCTCTCAAAACCCTATAAAGCCCCTCAACCCCCCCCCCCCCCCACCAAACGGAAGCATCAGGACCTTTTCGAAGACTTGGGGTCGCCAGCTCAGGATCTGAGGAAGACTAAAGAATCCTAAAATGATAACTTAGGGTTTAGGGTTAAGGGTTAAGGTTTGAGGGTTTAGGTTTTAGAGATTAGGGGGTGTTTAGGGCAGTATTCCTGCCTTAGGGTTCCTTTATAAAGGGCTTCCATAAGGGTCTCGATAAGAGCTACTAGAAGAAAGGGTACTATAATTTGCACAGAAAGAGTCTGGAACAGACGCCGGAATAATTACCAACGCTGTGCTTTCCTTTCTTCTAATTTTCGGCCATTCTGTTTGTCACGGCCCGCTAAACTCCCATGAAACTTGATGCTTTGAGCTTTCGCTCCTCTGCATTGGTTTAAGTTTCATGGGTTGGGAGTTTAGGGGTTGGTGTTTAGGGTTGAGGGTTTGGGGTTTAGGGTTTGGGGTTCAGCAGGGGAAAGGGGATAGCAGGGCTTTCAGGCGCGAGGGTTTACGACTTCGGTTCTTTTGAGGGCTTAGTGCTCCTGTGTGACAAGAATTGCACCCAAGTCCTTGCTCGAAAGGCCGGCGGAGCAAGTCGAATCGCTGATCTAAGTTCCAAATACTGAACCCTTAAGCTAGGGTTTCACGTCGGTAGGGGAAGGTAGGGTTTGGCAAAAGCCTGTAAATCCCAAGACCCTAATCTCTGCGAGAGCTTTGGGCCTTACGAGGCGTACACTCTTCATGTCTTAACTCCAAACCCTCACCCCTGAACCCGACGCTTTAACCGCCCTGAACCCTATACCCGAATCGGAAGCTCTCCAAGCCCGGACGTCAGTTCTCCGGATATGCTCTATGACAAAATAAAGGCCGTACACCTTCACTTGTACCCTGAAGCCTGAGGCATCCCATCCCTGCGACTCGGATACCTGATGTCCGCACCCGCCAATATCTCGGCGCTGTGCTGCGTGCTCCAGCCACACTTGGATTTTTTTCTGGTGGAGGGTTCAAGGTAGGTGATATTTGGCTGAGTGAAAGGAAGCGGTAGGACAGTAACGGCGTACAGTTCCTCTGAATGGACACGTTTTCTGGGTTTAGGGTCGAGGTTTATTCGCCTTGAGAGGCCCTGGTGTTTCGGTGGTTTTGGGGGTGAGGAGTGCTGAGCATAGTGCTGAGCCCGCAGCCGCAGTTCAAGGAACCCTGCTCTAATAAGTAAGGCCCTTTCATTCGGAACTGTGTGCTTCGTCAAACTGAAGTCCGGCCCACCATGCTACACACCGGTCAGCTCGAATATCCCAAAACAGCCTAACAGCTTTCCCTGGGGATCAATATAGCCCAAAAGCCTTATATAATATGGTCTTTGGGCCCAAAAGCCTTAATATATAAGTTCTTTCGATTGTTAGGGTGTTGCTTCTAACTCCAAAGAAAGCAGACAGAGGTCCCGGCCGATGTGCAGACGTCCCGAAGTCCCGCAGACCGAACCATGAAGCCTTTAGGGGCTTTGGGTTTGCGGTTTAGTGGGGGTTTAGGGTTTGGGGCTTAGGGTTTTGGGTTTAGGGGTTTTGGGTTGCTTTCCGGCTTTTCTGTAATTATCAGTACCTTGCATCTTTTGGATTACTTGTGCTAACTTCTCTAACACCTACAACCGAAAACCCCAAAGCCCTACCTCTACTATACCCTATACCATACTATACCATACTATGCTATGCTATGCTATGCTTACATACCTTAAATCCTAAATGCCAGATCCCGAAGCCCTGCAGACGACAGGTCCGGGGTCCCTATGATATCAATCAGATCGCCGTGGTCGCCATCCAAGCGGCGATGAAGAAGCCGCAGTATGTGTGGCTTGGATCAAAGGGTTTAAAGGTTCAGAGTTCAGCTCCGAAGGTAGGTGTTGTAATCCCAATTAAGAGTCCTGGTTTAAGCGGTCCTAAATCCTACCTACATCCCACCCTACATCCCACCTTTGAGGCCTCCCGTGTTTGGCGATGGTAGAGTTCGGGGTAAGTCAGGGTGTGCAGAGGAGCTTTGGGGTTTTCAAGGTGAAGGCTTCAGGGGCAAAGTCTGGCCCATTGGATTTTACGGTATTACCCTCAGCACAGTCGATGTTAGGGTTTAGGGTTTAGGGTTTAGGGTTTGCTTTCGACTTGCTCCCCTGTTGTCCACTGCATCTCCGTACTCGGTGTCGGGTCAGCTGCAGCCAGCCAAACCCTCAAACCTCAAACCTTCAGCCGTCAACTGTAAGCCCCAAATCTGAACCCCCAAACCCTAAATCCTACACCCTAACCCCCCTAAACCTTAAACCGTATGACCTAAACCCCTCTATAACCTAAGCCCTAGGACTCTAGGCCCTGTAATGTAAACTTTCACTTACATCTCTTAGGTTTGACTACGTCAAGGAGGTCAATGAGCGATCCAAGCCGCTCTTCGAGGCATTTTCCTTCGCTTTTAAGGCTTTCGATAGGTGCTTGTGAGTTTTTACAGGGGTTACAATGAAACTTCAATGGCTACTTGTAAGGGTTGATTAATGCGTTGGTGAGTTTTAGAGAGACATGCGTTGGTTAGACTCAGCTCAGCTTGGAGTGGCGTTTTGAAGGAAAGCTTAGTCCGACGAGCGTGTGTGCCCCGCTTAGGACACTATAGAGATGGACGCATGGTTGTAGCCCAGTCCATCCAGTGCCTTTTCCGCTTCAGCGATTCGTGGCCGTGTGTGTTCTTTCAAAGTTCGCTCGACCCAGAAAGAGCAGATCTCGAGGTTTCTTGTTTCTTACATTGTTGGTGACTTGGGAATTGGGAAACAGGGTTGGCGGGCGGAGAGGCGAGGGGCGGGCGTTGTGCATTCAAGCGGTCTTACTGGGCTGCTTGCGAAGTTCTCCACAGGAGTTCCTCAACAAGAAAGGAATCGGCTACTGGCCGACCGTGGCGAACTTCATCTTTTGCTATTTTCAGGACCGGGCACCGTCAACCCCCGCTTGTGTCAGGGCTTCGAGCATTGGCTTTGGTGTTTCATACAGGGATAGTTAGAATGCGGTTTTGGGGTTGATTATACTATGATTATAAGGAGCCCCCAAAGTAGTATAGGTATGTAGTCAGGCCCCTATATTTGGACTATGACCGTTGCTGCTCAGACCGGTTGGGCATGGAAGCAGCGCACAGCCTAGACGATCAGATGCTAATTGCGCTGCAATCAGAGCCGGAAACCCAACTACTCTGAACTCTAAACCCTAGATCCTAAAGCATCAACCCCAAACACTAGCTACCTAGGCCCAACAGCATAAAACCTAGACCCTAAGTCCTAAGTTCTAAACCCCCAACTCTCAACCCTAAATCCCAAGCTGTACTTGGAAGATCATGGGACTTAGTAAGTATGGTTATGAGTACCGTAATCCAGGTTAGAAGTAAATATAAGTATAGATACCTGAATAATAACCCTAGCTACTAAGTCCCATGATCCGTTAAGTAACCCTAAAACCCTCTTATAGAACCCTTATAGATCCCTTTTAAGGAGCCCGTTAAGGAACCCTAAAGTTACTATACTAGAGTCCCCTGTTTTCGGAAATCCCCAACTCTCAACCCTAAACCCTAAACCCCACACCCTAACCCCTAAACCCCTAAACCCTAAACCCTAAAACCCTAAACCCTAAGCCCTGAATCCCAAACTCTAAATCCCAGCTTCAGCACCCGTGCAGGACCCGAAGACTACTGAGGCGAAGCTAAGAGAGCGCGGTATCCTGGTGCGTCCGAAGAAGGCGTGTCCTGCTTAAGGGACCATGGGACTTAGTAACTCGGGTCCCTTTAAAGGGGTCTATAAGGGTTCTATAAGGGGGATTTTGGGTCTACTTCAAGGATCATGGGACTTAGTAACTAGGGTCCCTTGAAAGGGGTCTATAAGGGGGGTTTAGGGTCTACTTCAAGGATCATGCATCCTGGTGCGTCCGAAGAAGGCGTGTCCTGGACAGTTGAGGTTGTTTCTAACAAAGGGGCCTCCATAATTATCAATACTAATTTGGGGGGTTCCTTGTCAGAATAGTAGTATAATGGGGCCCAAAACCCTGTTCTAATTATTAAGGTCTCTATATGAAGAAGGCATGTCCTGCTTAAGGGATCATGGGACTTGGTAACTAGGATCCCTTTAAAGGGGTCTATAGGGGTTCTATAAGGGGGATTTAGGGTCTACTTCAGACATCATGTAGGGTTTACTTCAAGGATCATGGGACTTGGTAACTAGGGTCCCTTTAAAGGGGTCTATAAGGGTTCTTCAAGGGGGATTTAGGGTCTACTTCAAGGATCATGGGACTTAGTAACTAGGGTTATTATTGGGGCAACTATACTTATACTTATTGATATGCCCCAATTAAGGTACTTATAACTTATAACCATATAGTTACTAAGTCCCATGATCCTGCAAGTGGAGAGTTGAGTCTGTTTCTCTACAACGGTTGATGGTTTATAGGGTTCAGAGATCGTTCATTGGGATGTTGGGTCGTCTCGAGGTTTTGGGGCTTACTTGGAGGGGCAGGGGACTTCGTAAGTAGCTTATAAGTAGAGTTATAAGTACCCTGAATGGACTTACCCCAGTTATAACCCTACTTATAACCTACTTACTAAGTCCCCTGCCCCTCCAAGTCGCATAGATGTATCATCTTTAGACTCCGAAGCCCCAACGCATCCTGACGCACCAAAACTGCCGAGCCGGTTGTGACTTCTTGGATATCGGATACTTAAAGAATCATGGGACTTAGTATAACTATGGTTAGAAGAACCTTACTTGGGGATATAAGTAAGTATAAGTATAGCTACCCCAATAATAACCCCAGTTACTAAGTCCCATGATCCGTTAAGTAAACCCTTGTTCGGGAGCCAGTTCGGGCAGGCATACAAAAGGCGGTCATCCCAACTTAAAGAAATCCTAAACTGCCCTAAAGCCTAAGCCTAGAGCCTTGCACCTTCAAAAGTCGCAAGCTGCATGGAGCTCCGACCCACTTCCGTGTCAGGCAAAGCCCTCTAAGAGCCAACCCACGTTAAGCTTCAAGCTCATGTGCGTCCCGTGGCAGCCGCGGTAGTCCAACACAATGTGGGTTTTAGTGAACACTAAAACTTCACGCACAGAAAGAATTCCGAATCACTGCAATAACAAGATTGCTGTGGGAGGTGGTGTTCGATTGTTTAAGGCCCCGAGGGTATGGCATGTTGCAGGATGCCAACGACACCCTGGGCCTGCGCGTGAGCTTCGGCACGGAGCAGCAGATGAGGGACACTATCAAGGTTCCCAGCCTGACCTTACTTGGAGGATCATGGGACTTAGTAACTAGGGTGATTATTAAGGTGCTAGTACTTATATTTATTTCCAGTTAAAGTATTTATACATAACCATATTTACTAAGTCCCAGGATCCTCCAAGTATGTTCTCTCTGCAGCTGTAGGTTCGTCAGTCGCAAGCCCAAGCCTCGCATTGTAAAGACCCTCGACCCTAAACCCTCGAACCCTGCAGCACCAAAGCCCCAAAGCCCAAAAGCCCTAACACCCCAGCCCCTAGACCCTTAACGTCTCCAAATCCTTAAACTTACCATTGGTAAGTAGGGAATGGAACATTTGTAGTCATAGTAGTTATAATTGTACCCGATTCCTCCATTCCCTACTAACCAAAGGTAAGCTATAGGATTATGTTGATCTACAGGACCAGAATTTAGCTCTGCAGGAGCTTCCATGGGGCGACGCCGACGTAAAAACGTAGTTACAACTAGAATCCGAAGAACAAAGAAGAAAACCACAATGGGGTGTGAAAGGTCCAGGAGGGATCGCACGGCCTAAGCCTAGCAACACAACCCGAACCTTCCGAATCCCAAGTAGCCCTGCCTACCAACGGTCTCAGAGACCTCACTTCGGCAAGGGCCTTCGTTTTCATGACTTGAGCCACATCGTCGGTTGTGGCTTCTGCCGATCATGGCAACCTCTCTACGGTGGCTTCTGTGCATACACCGCTGTTGTGAGGTAACATCATGGAAGCATACCTTCTTAGCGTGCTTCGATCAAGAGCTTACAAACACTCGCGACACTCTACATGGCTCAGACTTCAAACACTCCTCCTCGAGTTGAGCGTAAGAGAAGAACTCGTCTCCCCATTCTGAGCCACGATAAGCCCATTCCCAGCTAGCCATCCAGCCGGAACAAAGCTTGGCGCCTATCGCAGTATTGGCACAGCGTCACTTGGCGCCTTCTTGTCATAGCATTACGAAGTCCATGACACTGAGGATCATAGTGGACCCTATCACCATGCTCACTCATAACAAAAGGCCCTTGGAAACGGACGTAGGGGTCAGGTGGAGGAGGAACCGGCGGCGTTTGCTGTACCGGGTCCGTCTGCACAACCGCATCCAAGGTCCGGGTTCGCGACCTAAAAGGCGATGGTGTCGGGGTTGCTCTCGACGAGGATGCTCTTGGGGTACCGGGGTTGTTAGGATCATCAAGACCATAACGAGAAACCTCCTCTTGGACTGCCTGCTGTAGACGACGAAGTCTTCGGGCTCCCCGCGCCTCCTCAACAGAGCCATTCCGCCCCAACGAAATCCACTCAAAGAACCACTTCACAGCCTCCCAGAGCGCAATGGCGGCAATCACAGCCAGGATCGTGAGAGCATACAACTCCCAAGCAAAGCTCAGCTCTAAGCCTGCACTTGTTCGATCTTCAGCTGCCCTGGATCCTTGAATCAACCATCCAAAGATCAAAGTAAGCCTCGCCAGCACACCAGCAATGCCGTTGATGGCACCATTCGAAGTGGATCCT